ACAGACCCCATTCCCTCCATGCCAACATCACCTGAGAAGCCACAAAATGCAGCCTTGGTGATAGCCCCTTACCTACTGCAATTCAGGTTTCAATGGATTGTTTCTAGGTCCCTAATAATTGAAACGGCTCATGACTGGAGTTTGGAATTGGTGTTCTTGTCTAACTAACCCGGGTGGCCTTGGCACTGGCCTAGTCATTTATGTTCTTGAACCTCCATTTCATCATCTATAAAATAAGGAGTTTAGTGAACAGGCAGAAAAGGCAAAAAGATTTCTGCTTTACTTCCTATGATCCAATACAGTTAATTTTTTTTTTGACAAGCATGCATTAAGTATTCTTTTTGAGAAGAATTTAAAGAGTGGCTTGAAATAAATGATCTCTAACAACCCTTCCAGATATAATGATCTGAAAGTCTTAAATTCATCCAGGATCTCTGAAGCTCCCTATACGCAACCTTTATCCTTAACTTGTGGGAAACTGCCAAGACCCCAAAGCCAACCAGTGCAGCACAGGGTCTGTGCTTAGGGAGCACTGAAAATTGAGGCAAGAGTGAGAGCAAGGGCCTTCCCTCTCTGCATAGATATAAAGACCATTGAAAGAGCCCTCTTATTGCTACACAGCTTGTGAGTTTTCATTTGCGTTTGTCAAAAGAACTTAGTATTTCCAGCTTTTTACTCTCACACTGTCATTTCATCTATTATAAAATTAGCCTCGGTGTCCCCACCGAGTCCTCGAACGGATGTCCTCGTGGAACTCTGCCCACTTACTACAGCACAGAAATAAGTTCCCTGGGATACACCTCATACTGCCCAAAACCCAGCAGGGAAGCCTCTTTCTTCGGCTTCTATCATCCCACTCAGAACAGACTTACACGGTTCTCCCATGTCTAACCTCTGAGACCCGCTGAAAGCGCAGGTCATCTTTATATTTATGCAGTAATCTAGGAAAGGGCTAAAGGATACTGCTGGAATATATGATGCACCGATATGCACAATGCCCACAGCAGATAGAAAATTTTAGTACTGTTATCTGTGCAAACTTTATTTTTGTTCACCAATAATGCTGATATATTTTATGTTCATCTTGTTCAAAAAGAAGTCTTCTGAAATTTTACAGCTTCATACAAGATTTTTTTTTAAGTGAGGAAATCAATGTGGAGGGAAAATGTGGGCAGGAAAAATTCGATGAAGCCATGGATGAGGCTAGCAAACAAAACGTAGGCTACTAAGATACTGTATACTCAGTAAGGGAAGACCACAGATTTGGCTCTGAGCATTCTAGCAGCCAAGGGGAAAAAGGAGAAACATGACCAGTTCCATGATTCACAGTGTCCACATGATAATTTTTCATGGAACTGAAACCTGAAGTAATCTCTCCCTGGGTCATCCAACACTCTTGTTCACATACTTCTTTTTAGAATTAAATTTCTTTAATATCCAATTTTACTTTGCACACCTTACATACAACATATATTTTAAGATAACAGATAATATATCTGCGTTGTTTTAAAAGAAATAAAATTAATATTTGTATTTAGTACACTATTTGTGCACAAAGCAACAGGGGCCAAGGAATGGGTTGTGTGTCAGGGAGCAATGACAACACACCACGATCATTGTTTTAAGACTTCACAAAAGAGAGGTTCACCTTGATGTTTTCTTGGACTGAAATCTATAGCTGTGGCTTTTCCTGACAGCATCATGCACCATGTATTCAAACCGCAAAGTATGTTTGGGGAACATATGATGACTGATTCAACAATAAATTTCCCTGAATCTTTTGAAGACAAGTTGACAATAAAAATAATCATGATTCTAATACTTAATATCTGGGCCCCTCAGCCACAGCAGAAGTAGCCCTACCACTTATGAAGCACTTACTATATGCCCAGTGTTAGTCTACGTACTGTACATATATTGCCTCCAATCTTCAAAATAACTTAAGGATGTTAGTATTAACTATATTTTACAGATGAGGAAAAAAATGAAGGTAGTTAAGAAGCAAATATCTTTGTTTTTAAATTTTATATTATAAAATTTCCAAAATTCACAAAAGTTGAGATTTTACTATAATAGACCTCAACATATCTCACCAAGATTCAACAACTAAAGGTTCTTCCACATTTCCTTTATCTACCACTTTTTTTCGATGAAGTATTTTACAACAAACTCCAGTCATATCATTTCATCCTTGCACAAGTACATGTTTCTTAAAAAGTAAGAACAGATTCTTATTTAATCCAATACCAAAACCAAAACCAACAAAGATAATTTCTTGGAATCACCTAATAATTACTCGGGAGTCACAAGTCAAATATCCCAAATTTTCCCAAAAAGTCTTTTTATAGTAATTTTTGTCACAGTAAAGAGAAATCCACACCCATTAGCAGTCACTCCCCATCCCCCCTCCCAGGCCATGGCAACCATTAGTCTACTTTCCGTCTCTACAGATTTTTGTATTCTGGACATTTCATATAAATGGAACCATAAAAACAACTGTATTTTGAGTGTCTATCAGTTTAGGTACCACTGACAGATATAGATAGGTACCAAATATATATATGACATGGTCCATGTAGGTAACAGATAAACAGTCAACAAACACCAATACATTATATTTGCCATATAAATACTACATTATGAATGCTCTAAGCTCATGGTTTTTATCTTTTCCCTCACACACATACATAGGAGAAATGATATTCATGTGTGTGACATACCAATGGGTTACCTATATGCGACAAAAAGCCCAGTTTTCTGCTGGCCACAATTCTCACAATGACTAACGGTTAATCAAAAATGGTAGTTCACCATAATGGTAGCTTACTGCCTGTGTTAACAACTCCCGGCTTTCTCTCCCTCTCAGGAAAGCATGCCAGAATGCAAGTCGGAGAAACAGAGATAACATGTATTTTTAAATTTATTTTTAGTGTATCATTCACAAACTTGAGCACTTTATAAGGAAGGGAGCAAAGAGCTAGTGGTTAAGGGTATAGACCCCAGAATGTACATATTCTCCAGATCAGACTGTGTACGCCCCTTTACCACGTAACAGCTATGTGACCTTCAGCAATGATATCTCTAAGTCTCAGTTTTCCCTGTATGTCAAATGGAGATATTAATAAGTATGACTGCTTTCGAGATTTAACACAGAACTCTTATGAAGAAAATCTGCTTATTAAATGTTGGTTACTGGCAATAATAATTATTATGATTATTTCCTTATTATTAACAAATCACACATGCCGCCTCAGAACTGATGGAGCCACTTCCGTTTGCAGCTGTCAGCATGTGTGAAAGTGACGACCAGAAAGGAACCGATGAAGTAGCTCAATTCTCCACATCCTGGCATATTAACATTTAAGGGCAATAATAACCTGAACGTTGAGGATTTGAGAATCAGAAACATAATCAAGATAACTGACTTGTTCCTCCCTCTGCCTCAAGATCCCCGCTAGACCCCATCACTAACTCCATGAAGCTACTTATGGGCTGAGAAGAGCACAGCTGTTAGAAATGTCCATCATCAGCAGGCTTCCCTTTCTGGCATGTTGGAGATGCAAACCACCACCCAAGAAAACCTTCCTTTGCCTGAGCTCTGTGCTCCATCACAACCTGTCATACGCAGGATTTCTAACCACCCCTGGACCTCTCTCATTTGTGTGGTTATTTTTCCTTTATACTAATTACCCCTACACTCTTTGTTCACTATCGTAAAATCAGTTCTCTTGGCAGTAATAGGTGTAGGTAATACTCATTTAAAATTAAGTCTCAAGGAAGAAGACTGTGTCAGCAAAATTTTATTCTTTGGCATCATGGTCCTATAAGCAATAAGCTTGCTCTTCAGCTTGTATCTACTCGTGGTGCTCAATATAGCAGGCAGAACGGAGTATGATGTCCCCACCACTGCTTTACTGTTTTAGTTCAGAAGCTAAAGTAAAGCAACACACAATGGGCACTTCAGAAGCTCCATGTAAACTGCAGGTATCTATTCCTTAGGGAACATGGACCATCTACCTTTGGGGAACAGAAAATGCCTCTGCTCCCCTGACGCATCTGTCCCACAGCAGAGACCAAAGGGTTGGAAGGAAATTACAACACTACCAAGAATTTTCAGGGTGGCAAGGGGTTGGGGGGACAAGACCACCCTGAAGACGCTTATGGCACAAAATAAAAGAGCTAATATATAATATACAGAGCCTATCTTTACTTTACAGGGTGAACCTTCTAAGCTTTAAACAATTAGCCTGTACCTGCCCAGGAGTGAAGTCTCCAAAAAATTACTACCAATTACAATAATACACTACATACTATTTTAAAAGAATGATGTAGAGACATCCATACTGAAAAAAATATCAAGATGCATTAGAGTATGTATGGGTATTCACATATTGTTTTTAAAAAACAAAAACAGAAGAAAAAACTAGATGGAAATACTTCAGAGTCTTACCAGTGGGCCTCTGAAGTGTAGAATTTGGAGGGTAGAAAGAAAGAAAATGGAGAAATCCCCTTTTTATTATATATCTCTCTGAAGAGTCTAAATTTGTTGTAGTTAATGATAAGAACACCTGGGGAACTGCTATAATATGAAATAATTTTTTATCAGCCCAAGCAATGTTTCTTTGTAAACAATTCAGCTTCTTGCATCAGTAAACATCAATACACATGAATAAGAAAGCCAATTAAATTAGAGGACCTGCATTATTCAAGAAGCATAAACTGCTATGTAAGGTAAATAGAAAAACAGATCAGCTGAATTTGATTTGTCCACTTGACCAGTTACCAGAAATTTTAACTAAAAAACATTTAAAAATAAAGTAGACAATTAAAATAATGCAAGAATAAAATGTCATTTTCTAACTTTTCCTTTGGTCATAATCAACAGGAAGGCAAATCACAAGACAGAAATTCATGCATCTCCTGAAAAAAGTCTGATATATTTAGGGAGGAAATCCGGTTCTCTTTTCTATTTCTTGAAAAAAAGCATCAATGTTTCTTACCTGATCACAAATCAGTTCCCACTTCTTCTCATTGTCATATTGCCGCAGTAATCTGGCTTTGTCAGGGGGTAGGTTCATAGCATTCTGTGAGAAAAAAAGAGAAGAAATATGTCACATTCCACAACAGACTGCTAATGGGTAACTCATGGGCAGACCAAAGAATGCTACTGTGGTTCTTTAATGACTTTTCAAATCCTAGCATCTGATTAACATAAACACCCTATAAAAGTCATTTAAACATCAAATTGGTTGAATGGCAGGAGAGAGACTCTGAAGTCCTATGTTGGGACACTGAGGTAGTCTGCTCTGAACTACAGACTTGCATTTCAGGAAAGATAATGCCTTATTTCTCCATTTAATTGCAGGCTCCCAGTCTCCTCAACAAAAGGTCAGAGGTTATTATTGAGAAGGTATTGGCCCAGTTTTTTTTCCCAGGCATAAGAGTCTTTCATTTTGGACAGTGGGAACTTGATTTTGTTATATCCTTATCAAAATTTCCTTAGAAATCACAAATCAGTCCTGGAAAAGTCCTCAAAAGACCGTATGTCCAGTTTCCTGCCCCCAGGGTGTTTTACTGTCCCTTGCTTCCCTGGCCATCCCAAACCGGGAGCACAGATGCTCTCTTTGGCAGTCTTTCCAGTACTTCTTTTTTCTTTTCCTAGTAGCCCTTTCTTTTTAATTGAAATATAGTTGATGTACAATATGAGGTTAGTTTCAGTGTACTATAAAATGACTTGACGTTTGTATACATTATGAAATTATTGCCGCAATAAGTCTAGCAACCATCTGTCCCTACAAAGTTATTACAGTATTGTTGACCATATTCCTTACACTGCATATTACATCCCCATGACTTATTATATAACTGGAGGTTTGTACTCCCAATTTCTTTAATTTCTATCTATCTATCTATCTATGTATTTATTTATGGCTGCATTAGGTCTTCGTTGCTGAGCGGGCTTTCTCTAGTTGCGGGGACAGGGGGCTACTCTTTGTTGCAATGCGCAGGCTTCTCATTGCAGTGTTTTCTCTTGTGGCAGAGCATGGGCTCTAGGAACACGGGCTTCAGTAGTTGAGGCACGCGGGCTCAGTAGTTGTGGCACACGGGCTTAGTTGCTCCCCAGCATGTAGGATCTTCCCAGACCAGGGCTCGAACCCGTGTCCCCAGGCGGATTCTTAACCACTGCGCCACCAGGGAAGTCCCCAATTTCTCTTTAAAGCACTACAGCCCCACCAGACACAGAACAGAAAACACCAAAAGAAAACTCAATGAACAGAACCACTGATAGATAGCGTCAACTTTGACTCGCTTTGATAGACAACTATGAGTAAAAGAACAGATGAAAATAAAGAAGAAAACAGTGCAACTGGTTTTTGTCCCCTCTGTGAGATGACAGCACTACTTCAGGACATATGTTACCATCAGCAACCTCAATTCTCAGTTTAGCTATATTGTTTTATGAAGTTGGGTTTGCAGTGAGAAATGTACCATGAGCTAAAAGATGTCTAGACATCAGTCTTCATAAAACCCTCCTCCGTCAATACCGCACACCTTCTATAGTGCTGATCATGATTTTCCCAGGTACATACATATGTTATTAGTCAAATGTCCCAAATAACCAATCATACACATTTTCAAGATACTTGGCTTGGGACTGAGGTGAGATCTTTGGGCACAGAACATGGCAGAGTGAGAGAGCCCCAGAAGGAATTCTTATCTGTTCCCCTGGTCTTCCTGTAAAGCTCCCATGCTCTAAACAACTGAGCCAAGTATTCAACTAATGTCTTACATGTTTAACTGCCCTAACCCCTTACATCAACACTCAATCATGCCTATCTCATAATAAACAATACAGCCCCTTGCGTGGGTGAATATTCGAGTAGACAAATTCAAAGGTCTTGAACTTATAATGCTCAAGCCCCTAGTTCTCTGGAGGACTTGTACTTACAGAGAAACAGCTCCCCTTGACACCAGTACTGTCTCATGTCATCCAGTGAAACAATTTTTTTTTTAAAATAAATGTATTTATTTATTTATTTTGGCTGTTGGGTCTTCATTTCTGTGCGAGGGCTTTCTCTAGTTGCGGCCAACGGGGGCCACTCTTCATCGCGGTGCGCGGGCCTCTCACTGTCGCGGCCCCTCTTGTTGCGAAGCACAGGCTCCAGATGCGCAGGCTCAGTAGCTGTGGCTCACGGGCCCAGTTGCTCCGCAGCATGTGGGATCTTCCCAGACCAGGGCTCGAACCCATGTCTCCCGTATTGGCAGGCAGATTCTCAACCACTGTGCCACCAGGGAAGCCCCAGTGAAACAAATTTAATAGAGGCAAGGGTGGGTGGGTTATTCTGACTTAATGGCAGAGAATTAACCTTTGATGATTTTGATAGATATAACTCAAGCATTTTCCCCAAAGCTCAATCTAGCATCCAGACTGGTATGCCTAAGTAGGTAGTAGATATCCCACTTACTGATTTGAATCTAATAATCTCTTCAGAATATTAATTTTTTAATAACCCCCAAAGCTGACAACATACTTAGAAAATCTTTGAACCCCAGAGATCTCAATGATACTGCCAAGGCTTCTCCATAGAAATAATGTGAAATGGGAAAAAATATTTTCATATGGCCTATCTCCATGTAATATTTACTTGAACGAGAATAGAAAATAACTACTTGTATTTATTTGTAATTACAATTTTATAATGTTCAGCAACAACTCCTGGGATAAAGCAAAGGAGAATTCCATGTGTGTCTTTCTAAGGGAGCCCAACATTACTCACCATTAAATAACCAGTCTATCATTGCTTATTTGCACCCTAGAGATGGATCATTTCCTCTTAAACTGAATTTGACGCTCATGTTAGTGCCCATGGGTGTGATTATGCATTAAATAAGAACAATAAGGGCTTCCCTGGTGGCGCAGTGGTTGAGAGTCCGCCTACCGATGCAGGGGATACGGGTTTGTGCCCCGGTCCGGGAAGATCCCACATGCCGCAGAGCGGCTGGGCCCGTGAGCCATGGCTGCTGAGCCTGCGTGTCCGGAGCCTGTGCTCCGCAACGGGAGAGGCCACAACAGTGAGAGTCCCGTGTACCACAAAAAAAAAAAAAAAAAAAAAAAATTAAGAACAGTAAGATAATAAGGCAGGTGAAATGAGTTTTTCTCCAAGTCTTTATTAATCTCTCATGATATAAACGGGTAAGACAAAGAACGTCTGACCTCTTACAAGGTGCCAAGCCCTGTATAAGACAGTCTGCATACACAATTTCATCTAATCTTCATAACAAACCCATGGGATAGATACAATTTTCCCCATTTAACAAATGGGAAAACAGGCCTAAGAGTGCTTGCTCAAGGTTGGACAGCTTTACAGAAAACAGGACCTAAACTTAGTCTGTTAGACACCAAGGACAAACACTAAAAATGCCTCCAAGTTTTTTTTGTTTGTTTGGTTTGGTTTTTGTTTGTTTGTTTTTGTTTTTTTGCAGCAAAGTAAAATTGCAAATAACTGACCTTCTGTTACTACTCCACAAGACTTTCATGCAGAAGCAGTCTGCAAACACTGCTACGGAAATTAGATGCAGGCCCTTTTGTTACTAAAAAGAGAAAGCCAAGATGCTCCTTTCTGGACCAACTTTTATTTTAATAAAATAGTCTTTCTTTCAAATGTTTATGAAGCACCACCCTTGTACAAGCACTGTGTTCCACAGCACAGTGGGGAACCAAACAGATACGGTCCCCATGGAGCATCATATTATAATAAGAGAGATAAAGATGAAACAAACTAATCTTAAACTCTGATAAGTCTTGATAGAGGTTATCAGAGGGCAAGTTTAGATTGAATGATCTGGAAAGACCTCTCAAGGAAAAGGTAACATTAAGATAAGATCTAGAAATGAGAAAAGGTGAGCCAGGTAGAGTGAATGGCAGCTTTCTGGGCAGAGAAAACACGGAAAAGACACTAAGGTAAGAAACAGCTGGACACATCAAAGAGCTGAAAGTGAGTCAGTGTGGCTGGAGAGAAAGTAAAAGAGAGGGAATGAGGGAAAGATAAATTTGGAGAGGTGAGTCAAGGCTATGTCATGCCCAGCCACGAAGGACTGGGGTAAAGACTTTTCCTTTGACCTAAAGTGCAGTGGGAAACCAGTGAAGGCTTGTAAGCATGAGATGACATAAACAGGTGAGTTTTCCAAAGATTGCTGTGGGTGCTATATGGAGAACGGATTAGAAACAACACAAGTGGAAGCAGGGGAGCCAGTTAGGAGGCCAGGGCAGTAGTTCAAATGAATGGTGGTGGCTGGGACAAAGCAGATGGCACATCAACTGAAGTAGGTGGACAGATGTCAGAAACAGTACGTGAAATTGACTGGGTAGACTTAAGGGCTGAGGAAGGACGTCTGGCTTCTACCTGGAGTCACTAGGTGAATGCTGGTCTCCTTAATGAGAGGGGCACACTGCAAAGGTGGTGCAAATCTGGAGGAGGTGGTGAAGAATAAGACTTCTAAGTGGCCCTGGTTAGGTCTAAGATAGCTAGGAAACATCCAAGAGAACAGTCAAGCAGGCAAGTACATACACAATTCTGAAGGTCAGAAGAAGGGTCTGCATCTTTCTGAACGAGAAGAGTCTTAAGAAGTCTTTTTGAACCTGATGACTAGTTATTGTCAGAGAAGTTATTCAGCATCAATACACTAAAACTAAAACTGTACTTGGTAATCATTCACCAAGCATCTAAAATCACCCCTTCCACGGGTTAAGCCTCTGAGCAACTCAGGCGGACATTGCCCAGCTTAATAATTCTACAGGGACCGCAAGGAAGCAGCTCCATCTAAAATCAGACCCTGCACAGAGGCCTGGTTAAAGTTTAGGCCTGTTGTGATTAGCTGGCAAGAACTGCCCGTAGACTTTTTAGAGGGAACTCATTCCCTTTGTGCTGTATAGGGCAGGCCTCTGGAGTCCAAGCTAAATGTTTGTGCAGGTAATTCCTAAGAGCCCAAGCTATTTTCTGAGGAAACTATTGGCTCTCTTTCCAGGCACTATTACTGCCTGTATAAAAATGGATTGCCCTTCTATCTGGCAGAAAATATACAA